GACCCCAGTCAGTGTTTTTATGGTACTCTCTTCGAGCCTGAACAGAGATGGGTGCTGGTAACTGACAGAACGTCTCCTTGTATAGAAGCGTAGAAGCGTTAGACATGCTAAGGAAGTGAGGCAGATGACTTGGCTAGTAAGGTACCGTATAGATCTGCAGTGACCCCGCTTACTAGAGTAGTGCCTACAGGCGAAATTGTATTAACTAGCTTATGTTGGTGACAGGTGACACCCTGACTACTTGCCAAGTGGCTTTGAGAGGCTCTACCTATGATTTGGCTCGTGGGGCCTTTGTGCCACTGAGGTGGGTGGCAGGGTGTTGGCCTCTCGGTGACATGTAAAAGATTGTAAAATCGATTGGCAGTGACGGGTGAGGCCCTAACTATTACTTGATGCAAGGCTATAACTATGCGTTGGGCCGATTGAGCTTGAACCTCTGAACGGAAGGCTGATTCTATGCCTTGCGGGACCACTTGCCTTATAAGCGAGGAAGCCTACGGGACCATACCTAAATTGGCGAGAGCTTAAACCTTGTCCTAACCCCAACTGGTTTTATTTTGTTACGTACCTGCTGATTGTCCTGTATAACATATACTGTAGTGGAAAGAACGATCCGTATCCTGCTAACAGCTTTGAGCTTTTGGTGTTTAGCGGTCTTGTAAAAAGTGTGTTAAGTGTATAATTGCGCACAACCCCCTACCTACTGACTGACACCATAACTACCAACATTACATTGACGACACCAAAACTACTGTAAGACATTATAATTGTAACACCATAACCATTACCAATTGATATTGCAACTATAACACCATGATTATTTAACTGTACAATAATTACTAACCGTACGATAACTACTGACGGCAGAGACGAACTGTTGAAACGTTATGCGATCGATTGGTTTACGTTTGGTTATTGTGTAGATAATTGAATGAAATGAAACATAGTTGCATTGATAATTGTATGGTCTTTGTTTTGAATATGTTTATTGTTTCCATAACATAAATTCCATTGCAAACTTTTTTTTTTTTTTTGATGTTAAGCAGTCAATCGCCTGCGCAGAGGCGCTGTTATTGATACATGAATAAGTCAAAGTAATCATGTCATGGCAATCTTTTAAGGGTACATAGATTTTGCAGAATTAAGTACATTAGTTTCGTTATGCCGGTTTGACAATGCTGTGTGTTAGTGTTGTATCCGGCATGTTTGATATTGTCAATAAGCGGTGTATGGGCTACCATTATGTGTCTGCGAGATTTGATTTTTTTGACAGAGGTGTGTGAATGTGTTTATATTGTTGTCTTGTGTTGGCTTGGTCGTGCAGTAGTTTGTATCAGCTGGTTTGTGGATTTGCATTGTGTTAGCTGGTGTGTGCTGGTGTTTGTGTTGGTTGGTTGATGCATGTGTTATGTGTTAAATTGTTTTTATTTTCACGTTTATGTTAATTAGGCTAATGTACTTTGATTTCAAACTTTTAATTCAAACTTGTGCGTCGACATCGCCTGGTCAGAGGCTCTGCCCGTATAACAAAGGTGGCGGGCAATATGTCCGTACAGATGCTGAATGTTTGTATTGCTCTACCATATCATGGTAGTCGGTGTGCTGTCTTCACAGTAGCTCAATTATTGGTAAAAACGTTGGCCTGTTCTGGTGTGATGCTGTAGTAGTCCCTTATATCGTCATGTGCGAGCTGGTGTGTGGTATGTCTGCGGTGTCCTGTGTGTGTGTTTCCCCGGGGTCCTTAAGGGTAGGTTGTGTTTTTTTTTGTTTTTGTTTTTTTTGGGGGGGGAATATATCCCTTTTGGGTGTAGTGTGGCTGTCTTGGGTATTGCCATTGTTGGACTCGTAGTTGGTCGGGTGTGTCAGGGCTGTCCAGGTGATCGTTGCTCCGTGGGCCTTGGTGGTGCATTTGTTAGGCTTGGTGAGTTATGGGTCTGCTAGTAGCTTTTTTTTTTTTTTTTTCACTACGCTTTTGATCTTAGCCCTGTCTATCTTTGTCTATTGCATGGCTAGCCTGTTGCACGGCCCTTTCTATGGGTTCCTGTAGTGGGTGTTGTGTGGTTCTCGGCTCTCGCTCACGTGTGTGTAATCCCTGTGTCCCCCTGTCTTGGTGTCTCCGGGGGGGTGTCTCCCGTTATGGGCCGGGTGTTCCTGTGTGAGTTTGGCCCTCTTGTTGAGGGGTTATGTGTCCCTGGTGTGTTCCCTGTGGTCTTGTGGTTGGGTGAGTTGTCTGGGTTGGGTTTTGTCATTGGTTGGTGGTTGGGTCTTGTGTGGTTGTATGGGTGGTCGTGGGTCTCCGGATTATGGGTTGCAGTATTAGTGGTTCGTTGAGTGTCTGTGGGTGGTGCGTTTTCCCCCAGCTTTATGTTTGCCTCCTGTTGGAGTGCGGCTAGGGCAAAGCCTTGGTGGGTCTGGGTTTGGAGGGTTGTCGTGGTCTCTGTCCCATGTCCAGTGTGGTCATTGAGGTGTGGGGAGGGTGGTCTCGTGAGTCGGTGGGGTCATACCCCCCGTCACCGCTCCAGGTCCGCCGTCCCCCGGGACCTCTACCCGAGCTCCCCCGGGTGCCCCTGCGTCTCTCGTCTCCCTTCTGCTTATGGTTCGGAGATGTGTTGTAGGAAGTCGTCCGTGTTGATGTTTCGGAGCCAGTGGAACCAGCGTTTTGTGTAGTTGTCTTTTTGTTTTGGGGTGGTTGCTTTCATATCTTCGTATTTTCTCACTTCCTCCACTTCTTCTATCCATCGTCTCATGGGTGGTGTACACGTCTGCTTCCAGAACATGGGGATCGTTGCCTTGGCCGCGTTTAGGAGTCTCGGGATGACGGATCTGGAGTAGGCCGGTGTCGACATGGTGGTGTGGTGGAGAAGAAAGGCGGCTGGTGTCCGAGGCAGGGCCTCGTCCGTTATGTCTTGAATTATTTTCCGAATCGTCTCCCAAAAGGGTCTAATGCGTGCACATTCCCACCAGATGTGTTTGAACGTGCCTATCGCTTCTTCGCATCGCCAGCATGTGTCTGGGATCTGGGGGTCTCGTGCATGGAGGCTGGATGGGGTTATGTACCACCTGGTAAGGATTTTATAGGAGTTTTCTTGGAGTCTCGCCGAACCCGGTGTTTTCTGTACGTGGGTAATGATTTTGTCCCAATCTGCGTCTGTTAGGGTCTCGTGTATATCCTCCTCCCAACATCTAATGCATGGGGGTGCTAGGATGTATCTGTTTACAATTATGGCTGAGTAGATTTGCGATACGGCCTTGGCTGGTTCCCGGTCTTGAGTGCATAGGTATTTGAATTGCGTCTGTTCTCGTATTAGATACGGCTTTTGGGGGATTGATCGGTCGTATTGCGCTATTTGTGCTCTAGCTAGGGTATGTGTGAATGTGTGTGGTTGATCTGGGAAGAGTTCTGTCGTCGGGCGGACTGTGAATGGCTGTTGAAGTACGTCTTTGATGCGTAGGGTTGGTATGTGTCTGGTGAGGCCTGGTATTGGGCCCTGATCACCTGCTGGGAAGTCTGGGTTGCCTCTCAGAGGGAGTAGTGGGCCTGGGTCCGTCGTTAAGTATTGTTTAGTGCCCTGTCTGTGCCAGATCCGCATGGTCGCAGTTACAAACGGGTTGTGTATTTGTTTATGTCTGTATGCGGCTTTCGTAATCCATGGCAAGGTCCTCAGGTCACAGTTTGTGGTATCGGATTCCAGCTGGATCCATAGTTTCGTGCTGCCTTCCACGGTCCAGCTCAGGATTCTATTGAGGTGCGTTGCCTGATAATATTTTTCGAAGTCTGGGAGCGCCAGCCCCCCTCGAAGTTTGGGCAACGTCAATTGAGAGTGTGCTATTCGTGGGGATCTGCCCTTCCATACAAACTTGCGGACCTCCGATTTCAGAGTGGCGAAGAACGCATCCGGGGCCAGTATCGGTACTGTTTGGAATATGAAGAGGAGTTTGGGTAGCAGTGTCATCTTGATCGCGTTCACCCTTCCCAGCCAGGAGATGTAGTATGAGTTCCATGAGCGCAATTCTTCAATCGCCTTTTTTAGGATGGGGGTGTAGTTGTGGGTATAGAGATCCGTCGGGTTCGGTGTAAGCTTAACTCCTAGGTATCGCATGGATTGGTCGCACCATTGGTAGGGATGTTGTCGTTGGAGTGTCCGCCTGAGCGTGTGGTTGATGGAGAGACCCAGGATTTCTGATTTTGAAAAATTGATTTGGAGATTCGAGACACGGCCATACGCCTCAAATTCTGACTGGATGGCGTGCAAGGTCGATTCTGGGGATGTGACTATGAATAGGAGGTCGTCCGCGTAGGCCAGTGTTTTATGGTGTGTCTGTCCTATTTTCAACCCCTGTATGTTGTCGTTACCTCTGATGCGGTTTAAAAAGGGTTCTAGCGTCAGTGCAAAGAGTAGGGGTGACAGCGGGCAGCCCTGCCTGGTCCCGTTATGGATCTGGAATGGATCGGTCAGTGCTCCATTGATCCGAATGCGGGCTGTTGGGTGCGTGTATAGTGCTTTTATCCAGGTGAGGTAGTTCGGTCCGACGCCGAGGTGCTGGAGTGTGCCGAACATAAGGTCCCAGTCTACTCTGTCAAACGCTTTTTCAGCGTCTGTGGACAGAAGGAGTGTTGGGGTCCTCAGTGATCTGGCGTGGGCTATGATGTTCAGGGCTCTGATAGTATTGTCCCGTACCTCTCTCCCCGGGATGAATCCCGTTTGGTCCGGGTGCACTGTCGCGGGCAGCAGTGGTGCTAGGCGCGCCGCCAGGACACTTGCTAAGAGTTTGAGGTCCGTGTTTAATACGGAGATTGGGCGGTAGCTTGGGCAGAGTGTTGGGTCCTTGCCGTCCTTGGGTAGGAGGGTGATGTTTGCCTCTGTGAACTGGGCTGTTGGGGTGGCTCCCTCCAGAATGGAGTTGAGGGCCGTTTGCAGTTTCGGGAGGAGGTCTGTTGTAAAGGACTGGTAGTAGGAGAGGGGGAAACCATCCGGGCCCGGTGCCTTGCCTGTTTTCGCCTTTTTGATGGCGAGGGCCAGTTCCTCAGTTGAGATGGGGGTTTCCAGATTTTCTCGGTCGGCGTTTTCTAGTCTGGTTCCGCTCGCTGTATCTAAGTATCTCTGGATCTCCTCGAGTTTGTGGCGGTGTGGTTCCTCTAGCGTGTCTTGACGCAGATTGTATAGTCCTTGGTAGTAGGTGAGGAATGTGGATGCTATTTGGTCCGGGAGGTGTAAGTGTTGCTGTTGAGGGCCTTTGATTTTCGGGATGTACAGTTGGGACTTGCGTTGTTTTAGTAGGTTCGCCAGTAGCCTCCCGCATTTGTTCCCATGTTCATGAATTATGTGTTTGAAGTGTTGGTATGAGCGCTGTATCGAGCGGTTCAGGAGTGTCAAGAGTTGTTCCCTCTTGACGGTCAGGTCTCTGTATGTCTCCGCGTCTAGAGTGCGTTTGTGTTTGGTTTCCAGGGCTGCGATCTCCTTGCTGAGGGCTATCGTTGCCTGCGTTGCATCTCGTTTGCGGGTGGCGCATGTCGTAATTAGCTGTCCCCTGATCACCGCTTTATGAGCCTCCCAGCATGTCAGGGGTGTCGTGTCGCCTTGCTCGTTGTCTGTGAAGTAGTCTTGTATGGACTGCCTGGTCTTTTCCACCACCAGTACGTCCGAGAGGATCGATTCATTCAATCTCCAGGAGGTTTGTCGCGGTCTGTAAAGGGGCGATTTTTGTTATTCGAACCGGGCAGTGATCTGACCACGTCATAGGTAGTATTTCCGCCCTGTTGAGGAGGACGAGGTCGCGGTGTGGCATGAGAAAATTGTCTAGTCTAGAGTATGTCGAGTGCGTTATGGAGTAGAATGTGTAATCGCGTGTCGATGGGTGTAGTGCGCGCCAGCAGTCCGCAAGTTGATGGTAGTGGATGGTGCGCAGCGTTCTGGCGTTTCTGTTGTCCGGTGTGGGCCCGTGTTTGGCTGTTGAGTCTTGCTCTGCGTGCAGTGGCAAGTTGAGGTCCCCGCCGACGATCAGGGTGCCTTCTGCGAATTTCATCAGTGTGTTGAGTGCAGTACGTAGGAAGAGGTGTTGTTTTGTGTTTGGAGAGTAGAGGTTGGCAAAGGTGTACGTCTGGTCTAGAATGGTGCCTTTCGTAAAGATGTATCTTCCTTGTTTGCATCTGAGTGTGGCTTGCTCTACATACGGGATCTGGCTAGAGAAGAGGATTCCCACTCCCAGTGTGCGCCGGTCCGGGTTGTTACTGAAGTATCCCTGCCGGAAGTAGCGGTCTTTCAGCGCTGGCGCTCTGCCTTCCTGGAAGTGTGTTTCCTGAAGAAACGCTATGGAGGTCTTGTAGTGTTTAAGGTCTCGCATGAGTCTGGAGCGCTTCTCTCGTACGTTGGGGCCGTGGACGTTGTAGGTGACGATTGAGAGGTCTTCCCGGGCGTATCGGTCCATTCCCGGGGTCGGCATCCCCGGAGCGGCCAGGGGGGGCCGAGCGGTGCAGTGACGGGGGGGGGGTGAGGGTGGGTGCGTCTGGTATATGGGAGGTGGGTGTGCGGTCTATGTGTGGTGGCGGATGTGTCAGAGTGTACGGCCTAGTTGATTGTGGTTTTTACTGTGACGCTTGAGCTTTATCCGGTGTAGGATAGTGGACAGGTGTCTCAGTAATCAGGTCCCCTTTTCCAGCTGTGTGCAGGGGTCGGGTCTGAGCTGAGATTGAGGTCACACCCTCCGAATGAGGGTTCGTCGTGTCCTGTTCCTATGGGGGCGGCGGGGTGCCGATCTAGTGTGATGGGCCCTGCCCTGTGTTGTTGTGGTATTGCCCGTTGTGCTCTGGGCTTGTTGAAGGAGTTTGTCTACTGTTTGGGGTTTGTGGGTGTCTGTCTCCTGTGTGGCCTTGGTCTATTTTGTTCGCTTCGCCTTTCAGTTTGGTGCGGGTGTGGGTCGTCCGCTGTCAGCGGGTAGTGATTGGTCTGGTTTGGATCGCGGTTGTCTGCCTTGGCGGGTTCTGTGGTCTGGTGTCTGGGGGTTCCCATGTCGGGTTCTGGGGTTTGGGTCTTTGGTCGTATGTGCTGGACGAGTGTTGGGCTCTAGGTCCTCCGTTCGTGTAGGCGGGATGTGTTCGTTGAGTCCCAAGGGAGGTCTCTGTGGGGGGGGCGGTTGGGCCCGTGGGCGTCGTCGGAGGTGTAGGCTGCTAGCACTGTTGCCTGCTGCAGTTCTGCGGTGTGTGCTCGGGTGTAAGGGGTTCTGTTTGTTCCTCTGTGTCTTAGCGGCTTCCTTTCCTGCCGTGGGTGTAGTGCGTCTCTAGCGTTTATGAGGTGGGTGCTGCCGTGGGGTCAGGGTTACTACTGGGGCTCTCGGTGCCTATCCTCTCCCTTCCATCCCCCCGCTAGGTTCTGTCGCATCTCCCTATAATAGTGTGGTGTCAGCTCCTGGGTGGTGGCGCTTTTGCCTCTGTGTGGGTGTCTTGCCTGCGTGAGGGTCAGGTGCTTGGGTAGCGGTGACGTGGGCAGGTCACCCTTGCCTGTATGGTGTCAATCGTCGCAGGTTCGTGACTGCGCCCTTATATTTGTCTACTGCCTAGTGCTGGTGGTTAGGCTTGTCTGTACGTCGGGTGGCTGAGTCACAGGTGGTGGTGTGTCGCGGAACAAGTGCCTTATCTGGGGCTCCCCTCCACTCCCTCCCTACCCCCTCCCTGTTGTGTACTTATGTACCCTTCAGGGTCGTGTGTGGGGGTTGAGCTACTGTGTTGCGTTGGGCTCTCCAGGCTCTGGGTGCCAGTCCTTTCGTGTGTGTCTCTGAGCATCTGCGAAGGTCGCATTTTGGTTCGGTCTTCGGATCTCACTCGGGTGCGTCTTCTTAGGTGATCCTAGGGAGCGTGCTCTAGTTGCCTTTCCCTTCTCTCCTTTCTTACCCTTTCGTGCCCCCTTTCCCCCTCCCCTCCTCTTTTTTTGTTCCCTTCGTGTAAGTCCATGTCATGGTAATGAGCCTTGTGTCCCGTCCCCCACCCAAAAGCCCCCAGAGTTCCTCCCATACGGTTCATGGGGTCTGCTGGTTGATTGTGTGGTCGATCTCTTTGTGTCTGACCAGCATCTTTATGGGAGCAGCCCCCCCTGTCTCCCCTCCCAAAGCCCCATGCGGTATGTTCGAGTTCTGTGTTGTGTCCCCATGTTAAGTACTCACAGTTCGTTGTGTTCGTCTGCTGTTAAGTGGTTTCCTTTTCTTGTCTTTTGCCGCCAAGGCAGTGCTGTGCTGTGTAGGGTTTACATCTCTCGTCCGGCTCGACCCGGGTGTCCATCCCGGTGGCGTTGCGGTTGAGGTCTATGCCGGTTCGGGTCACGTTGTTGCGGCTGCTGGGGCCTGTTTGGTTGTAGGAGGAATGACCTCGCCAGCCAGTTGGGGACCGTTACCGGTGGGAGTCCCAGGGTGCGCATGAATGCGTGGACGTCGTCGGGTTTCCGTATCGTCAGTACATCCGGGCCGTGTCTGGCGGAGAGGGAGAAGGGGTATCCCCAGCGGTACTGTATGCCTGCATGTTGTAGGGCGGTGGTGATTGGCCGTAGTGCCCTTCTGGCTTGTAGCGTGTAGCGGGAGAGGTCTTGGTAAATTGTTATGGTCTGGTCGTCCATGCGGATGGTGCCTATGCGTCTGGCCGTGCGCAGAATTTCTTCCTTCAATTGGAAGTTATCCAGGCAACAGACTATATCTCTGGGTTGATCTTCTGGTGTGGGTATAGGACGCAGCGCTCGGTGAGCCCTAACCAGACCCAGTCGCGGCATGTTTTGATTGCCCAGTACCTGACTGAAGATCTGTCTCAGGAGCTCTGGGACGTTTTCTGCCGGGCCCCCCTTTCTCACTCCGCGGACTCTCAGGTTCATCCTGCGCCCGCGGTTATCTAAGTCGTCCACCCACGTGGTTAGATGGGCTATGTCAGCCTCTTGGGTGGTGACCGCGGTGTTTGTTTGTTCTAGGTCCGTGCGGAGTGCCCTGGTTTCAGCCTCCGCCACGGACATCCTTGCCTCCACGTTCGAGAGGTCTGCTCTCAATTGGGCCACCTCCTCCCTGACCACGCGGCCCAGCCGGTCTGAGAGGGCCTCAAAATCTGCCTTGGTCATTAAATTAGGCAGTATCGCCCTCCACTCGCCGTCGGGTTGCTGCCGCTGTTCCGGCGTCGGGGAGGGTGATGGCGAGAATCTCGGCGAGGTGGGGGGAGAGGAGTCCCTGGTCGGGCTTGCGGCCTCCATTTCGCGCTGCGGCGTACTGTCGCGGGCCGTGGAGTGCAGGAAGGACCTGATGGTCTGTTCTCCTCCCGGTCCCGACTGCCTCGGGGTACCGGTGGCGTCTGCCAGTCTTTTGCGGCCCATCTGTGGTGTTCGTGGGGTGTAAGGTGAGCGGGTAGTGTCTTGTAATCGCTGGTGCCACGAGGAGCTGATTTCTTATGCGGCCATGTTCTCCGGCTGCCGGACACGCCCCTCATTGTATGGTCTTTGGAGATTTTGATTTTGTTTTATATGTGGGCGACGTCGTAATTTTGTGCAACATATGAGGATCCTTGGCAGCTTATCCAGGTAGGGTGATAACTTGAAACTAATGTGACTTATTTATTTATAGTACATGTTACCAGAAGGAAATACATGGTTTACGTTTGGTTATTGTGTAGATAATTGAATGAAATGAAACATAGTTGCATTGATAATTGTATGGTCTTTGGAGATTTTGATTTTGTCTTATATGTGGGCGACGTCGTAATTTTGTGCAACATATGAGGATCCTTGGCAGCTTATCCAGGTAGGGTGATAACTTGAAACTAATGTGACTTATTTATTTATAGTACATGTTACCAGAAGGAAATACATAGAAATTTAGGTAGGAATATCCGAGGCCTACCTCACTTTAAAGTAATGTATTTATAACCCTATAAGGCCCCTTAGCAATCAGTAACAGTAATTATGCGATCTTTAACAGGAGGGAAAGCATTACTTAATTGTCATCTTATTTATATACAGCCTAATGTAATTAGGAACGCAGAGATGCGGAGACAGAAGTAGAGCATAATATAAACCTATTAGCACACTTATATACCAATAAAACGCTTTAGCTATGGTTTTAAGGAAAAATACACAGTGAAAGTATGACCTTAATTGCCATAAGACATCCTGATTAGGATATTGCTGTTCGTTTTTTTAATTAAGACATAAATACCATAAACGGATGACTTAAAGAAAAGACTAGGTAATTTAAACTGAGAAATGCAACATCAAAAAAAAGGTTTCATAATGCTGTATAAATGGAATGAACTTGAACTGCTACTAGGTATGAGGCAGTTTATACAAATAAATGAAAGTTTGTGCGAAAGTGTGACTATGTGTATACTAATGGAAAAAAATAAGCGATTTATGCGAATGGATAATGCATACGAAAATTTAACCGAAACGCCAGTTAGCAATGCACAAGACGGAATCTAAGCATAATCTTACCCTGATTAGCATACTTATATATTTATAAAACACGTTAGCTATGCTTTGAGGAGAAATACTTTAATAAAATTATACCTTAACTGCCGTCAGGACATACTGATTTCGTATATTTTAGAGAGTAGAAAAACAAGGATGTTTTTCAAGAGTGACATCATAAATGCTTTGACATTGAAAGTTTTACCAGCGCTGTTTCAACCGGAGTTTAACTTCTACTGCAAAGCCAGCAAGTTAAAATAAAAAGACAGTTTATAACTCCCATATGAAAGACACAAACAGAGATGATGTTGTATGTTTTAACATAGACAAGAAATAAAATAAAAAGGAAGTTTTAAGGAAATTGTTAAACTAAACCAAATTGAACATGAAATGCCGTTTAAATTTGAATGTAAAATGCTTTCATGATGCTGTAGTACCGAAATGAAATTGTATTGCTAGGTATGCGTGAGTTGACAGCGTGGAAAATAAACGAAAGTGTGCATTAAAGGACCACTCTAGGCACCCAGACCACTTCAGCTTAATGAAGTGGTCTGGGTGCCAGGTCCTTCTATGGTTAACCCATTTTTTTATAAACATGGCAGTTTCAGAGAAACTGCTATGTTTATGAATGGGTTAAGCCTTCCCCCTAATCCTCTAGTGGCTGTCTCATTGACAGCTACTAGAGGCGCTTGCGTGCTTCTCACTGTGATTTTCACAGTGAGAGCACGCAAGCGTCCATAGGAAAGCATTATGAATGCTTTCCTATGTGACCGGCTGAATGCGCGCGCAGCTCTTGCCGCGCGTGCGCATTCAGCCCAGAAGGAGGAACGGAGGAGGATCGGAGGAGGAGAGCTCTCCGCCCAGCGCTGGAAAAAGGTAAGTTTAAACCCCTTTCCCCCTTCCAGAGCCGGGCGGGAGGGGGTCCCTGAGGGTGGGGGCACCCTCAGGGCACTATAGTGCCAGGAAAATGAGTATGTTTTCCTGGCACTATAGTGGTCCTTTAAACGAACTGACAGT